GAGCCTAAGACAAAAAAGGTAAATAAATGCCTTAAGGACAATAAAAAATGCCACGGGGAATGAAGGCATGAAACGAGATTAGAGCAAAGGGATGTAGTAAGGCTTCCGACAATCGCCCAACTAGTATCACTGATACACATATCAATGTCTCTTTAACGCAGACGTGCCACACGCCCACAGCCTGTAATGTAGCTGCCACTTGTCCGAATGCATAGTGTTATCCTTTTAGTGACTTAACGCTTGTAACTGTTAGTGTAAACAAAATAGCTGAGCAGATGAAGAAGGACCAAAAAAATAAATAAATAAAATTAAGGTGTGGGTATAATGCTCACGCGCCCGAAGAAAGTCAAAAGATAAACGTTCGTTTGCTTTGAGGATTTTTTTCCTTGGTCTTTTTGGGAAGACATTCTTTTAAGCATTTTTAGCAGTTTTTCACCCTTTCTGCGATTTTTCGCATTTTCCCTTGTAACGGTTAAACATGTAGTTGCACATACACCAACACACATATACACACACACTTAGAAATTATCAGCGGTCGCATCCTTTTTCCGTGAAAGGGTCACTTCTATTGCCGTGGGTATCGGCTGTCAGCACGCTCGGCTCAGTTGCTCAGCAGTAGCAAGTTGTAGTTTAGGCATGTTGTTGCTGTTGCTGCTGGGCAGGTTGTCCGCCACTTGTTTCGCTTGTTCGTCGGTAATTGTATGCCATTTCCAAAGATTAAGGGATTTACCCGGCATAGCTACTTTGAATGCCAGCCATGTCCCTTTCGCTTAGTTTTTGTTGTTTTATTTTTTTTTGGCGAAGCTGCTTCCCCTTCTCCACGCAGCGCTTGGAATGCATAATATGTGTGTTTATGTATGTATGTGTGTGTGTATTTGCTTAGTTTGCGGAGGTCAGAGTTATCTGCCTTGCTTCTAGGTCTGGGTCATGCAAAGGCGATGTACCCTACAAGAAGCCCATGCTACTAAAGCCATAGTACAAGCATTTATTACTTTTTGTTGTTGCTGTTATTGTTTTTATTATAGCTCCGGTATTTTTGAGGAATTTTTAAGTAGCAAATGCTTGTGTTAAATACTTTTATTGAGATGGTAAGCCTTTTTATTAGCCTCGCCTGGCCTCGTTGGCTCGCCTTTCCCAGTTTTTTTACGCTGCGCCCTAAATAAATATGCAGTGAAAATATTTATTTAAGGCAGATGACATATTCCTGTGGCCTTTTGTCTTTGCTTGCCACTACACATACACTCACACACACATATAGCTGATAGTAAGCGTCGCAGCTCCATCGCCAGCCGGTTGTTTGAAAAGGTTACACCATTGCGATACTGTTGTTGCTATTTTTGTTGTGTTTTTATGTTGTTACGCTGGTAATTAAAGTAAATCACCACACAAAAAGAATGTTATTGTTAGTCCCGTTAACTGCTTAGCGTTTCCCGTTTATTTTCCCGAAGTACCTAAGAAGCCAAGTCATTGTTTCGCCAGGCTTAAGAAAATGTTTTCATTTAGGTTTTTCTTTTCGCAGCTTGTGAATAATTAAATCTTAAATGAATTGCTCCAATTGGCTTAAAGTAAACGTTCGCTTATAGTCAATTGCAGTAATTTATTTTCTCTCCGAAATGGCGGTACACCAATAAAAAGCTGTCATTAAGAGAAATGATATTAAATAAGATATCGTACTTATAAATTTTTTTAAGTGTTTACTCGGAAAAACCTCCATTATTTAATACTAATATTTAAAAAGCATAAACAAATAAAAATTTACTCTAAAGAAATATGTTTACGTTGTTACCGGAAGACTCTAAAATCAGTAATGGAACGTTTTGATAACAAGATTCAAGAATATTTTGTATATCCATATATTTTTCTTCAGATAAGGCTTTAACCATTTGACACTAAATTTTTTTTATTTTCAAACAGAAATTTGAACAAGTTAAATATTCCAAATGAAATTAAACGACGGAATATAGGTTAAATTTTCCGTATATGGGTTGTATGTCCACTACACCATTCTATTATAGAGTGGATCTTTTAATATGTCGCACGAAACATATCTTTGTTTATAAGTTAGGTTAGGTTTGGTTAGAATAAATTATTGATTCTAATAGGGAACTCACTTGGACAGATTGTAACGTAGGTCCGTTGGGGTATCTAGAACTCCTATAAAATTAATTATAAAGACCCTCATAAATAAACGAAACGCTTTAAGCCGCTCCCAAATTTGTTGAGACGGCTAACGTCAGTTTTGGCTATGTCTCCTGGTTCCTCAAAATTGACAATTTGCATCCGACTGTATTTTTAGCCTTACAGCGTGAATCCTTTTGGACAGTGTCTAGTAAGAACTACTACGATTGTGGCAAGATAAACTTTGCTAAGCGAAAGCAGTTCAGTAGTTCTCCTAAGCTCTACTGTCGGCCAAGAGGATCTAACAATCGGACAGGAGCTGGTCGTCGACCACGAACGTGGACCCCCGTCTGTATGCAGTTGCCATAGAATAATACAATTAGTTAGTCACATATCACAATATTGTCCTTGCTAATTGGTTGCAGCGCTGCATTTGCTTGCAGGGCTATATTTTTATAACCAAAATACAATAATACTATATTCATAGGTATGCGTTTTTTGTCAAGATATTTCTATCTCAGACTGTCAAAAGTTGGGCAATAGAGGAGGAAGTTCCCAGATTTTTCGATCCCTCCTTCCTCTATACAGTTTTGGCAAAATGCGTTCGACAAGATCTTAAGCCGGTCCGCTTGTAAGTTTATTGAAGACTGTCCAGTTAAAGCACATACAAACGTGATAAACTTTGCTAAGAGAAGTAGTGCAGTGGACCTCTTTTGTTATTTTCTCCGCCCGAAAGTTCTCGCAGCTGCATAAGTTCTGGTTGTTGACTAACGCTTGCCCAGCTCACAGGATATCCAATACACTGTGCAAAAAGACAGCGGAGTACCGACTCTTTTCCAATCAGATGAAATTGGGGAAAGGGTGTCCTCTTTAGCAAATCGGTTAACTTTACACTTTGATGATTCCGCTGTGACCAGGCATCCAAGCATGTGGGATAACAAAGTAGCCTCATGCTATTGCTAGTGAAATCTGACACTCTTTGACTAACCTTCAGTGTCGCAGTGAATTCACACCTCTCTGAATGAAGACGCACTTCGAACCACAGCATCTACTGCTACCTTTATAGCAGCCACGGTCGCTTAAAAGACACTATAGTTGTTTGGTCGCCCCGCTCTTCAATAGATTTATATACATGTCTCCTAAGCCACTTAAGGTACAATAACCAAATACGCTTAGGACAAACCCCTTAAATACGCCTACCGACTCTAAAAATGGGTGAAATCTGATGGTAGCCCCGCCCACTTCCCATATAACGGTACTGTTAAAATCAAGTTAAAGCGCGATAAATTAAAAATTAAATACGCCAGAGACACTTAATTTTACACCCAAGATAATAAAAGATAGCTTTATAGAAGCTTTCAAAATTGGACCACGGGTGTGGCACCGCTCACATTAGATATGACATATAAATATTATCATATCACAGGAACTGTTCGATCGATTTCAACCAAACTCGGTAGATTTCATTATTATTACATTATTATATTGACCGAAATCGGACTGCAACCACGCCCACTTCCCATGTAACACAATTTTTATTACCATCTTATTCTTTCACTTTCCTGTACATAAATCAAGCATTAATCAATATATTGGGATAAAACTGTACACAAATAATGCCTTTAAAGTAGGCCATCTTGGGCCTGAAAATTGTCAAAATTGGACCAGTCATGTTCAAGCCGCTACATACCGAATATATGGGTACCAGTGCGTATAGCTGACTTTTTGTCGAAAACACCGGTCAATCTATGAGATATAATTTTGGAATTCGGGAAAAATGGATCGGATAATTAAATAATCTCAAAAGTGGATGGAATCGGATCAATACTTCCCTTAGCCTCCATATATATAATATAAAGATGTTAGAACTTACAGTTGACTTTATACCGCAGATATCAGCCAATGTGGGAGCGTATTTTAATGAAATTGAAGGAGCGTATTTTGCTAACAGTGTAACTTGTGTCTAAAATGGATCAAATCGAGCGAAGAAATTCCTTAGTCTCCATAGAATTAAGCAGTCAGCCCTTCCATTTCTCTGCCCCAATATATCTTATATATTGATTTCCGACTTTACACCTGACTTTAAACCGTTTAGTTTGCTCAAAATGTGTGATATTTTAATGACACTGAGAGTTCTCATTTGAAGATAAAATATAGTAATAAAGCGAAGTGAGTCTATGACCTTAAAAATAATTAAATAAAATACCAAATTTGATTGTAATCCATTCACGATTATGTCAAATAATGAAGTTGAACCCTTTCCCTACATTTTTAATATAGTTAACAGCTGAAGGTATTTCCCCGGCTTTGTTCCTTGCACGTTGCAATAGTATGAAATGTTCGGCTACACCCGAAAATAGTCCTTCCTTACTTGTTGATATTTAATGTTAAGCACACTAAACCATAGAGCATAAAATTATCTTTGTGACGTTTTTTTTTTTTTTGAGTATGCATATGTAAATTCACTAATCGCTTAACCTCTCTACATTAGCGGCTGAGATTTGCATAAAATTCTGTAAGCCAAAAATAATATTAACCAAAAAACAGCCACCGCTGACTGAAAATGGAGATTTGAGAGCTGCCGCTGGCAAAAAAAATGTTAAAAATATATGTGTGCTCTCAACACACACACACTTCCACCAACCAAATACATATGTGAGGGAGCGTGGCTGCCGACTCCGCAAACGCCCGCATGTATGCGCGATGTAACGAGCGTTCCAAGGCCATAACGACCTCATTAGCATAATAACCGCTAAGCGTAATGGAGGCAAAACACCATTAAATAACACTTTATGACTGTATTTCATTTTATTTTATTATTCGCACGCAACGTTTTTGTTTTATATTTTATTAACGAGTGCTCCTCTTTGTTGTTGTTTCAGCTTTCGGCAGTTCCACACACGCGTGAAAATATTGACTCCAACTCACATACGCATGTATAAATGTTGTTTTTGTTTTTCGGTAAGTGCTCTATTTTATTATTCCATCTCTTATTATTTTAAAGCGTATTTAAATGTTGCAATGTTGTTGTTTTTATTATTATTTTCCATACACAGCTTCATACAAATCTTTTAAATTCTGTAAACAAATGCAAAATATAGCTGTGTTAAAGTCAATAATGTGCACATATGCGTGTGTGTATGTATGTATTAATGTGGTATTGTTTCTAGAGGAGGGTTGCTTTATTTTATTCAGGGAGCGAGTGTCCTTATTCAGCCACGCGTTGCTCTGCACATAATCAACCTGTAGTCTCTGTGCTTTAACAATAAACTTTATGTGTGTATTTAAATGCGAATGGCATTCGCGAAATCTGCCAAATCAGCTAAATCTGCCACGAGTGCTTTATTGCGGCACTTTTTTTGCAAAACATATTAAGTCATAACAATTTAAGGATTATTATCTACTTATATGCTCATATTTTTTTATTAGTAAGAGGGCTTATAGGTGCACGAGCGATTGTTTAGGAGCTGCGGTGTCAGGTTAACAAATTTTGATGTGTCTACCAATGTAGATATATACCTAAGTATACGTATATCGATTTAATATATTTATATAACTATATAGGACAGCAGTAGCGTCAATTTGATTCCTCGAGGGCAAGATTCACCTTCTACAACACCTGTCATTGTAAACTCTCCAGAATTATTTCCTTAATTAGAGCTTTAACCACCACCTTGACAATTCCTGAATCCACAATAGATCATTAGACGTATCTTACACTTTTCAAATGGCTGTCTAGGCAATCTGCAAGCGCTTATCGCACTAGATGTTTTACATTTAGAACTAGTGACTCTATGCTACATTTTATTTGATTTCATCGTTCATTTTATACTTCTATTGTTTCAACATGATGCAATGATATACACTCCTCTAGATTATTAAAGGTACATAAATCAGTAGTAATGGTAATACGCTGTGTTAACACGAAGTATCACTACAAAAGTCTCACTACTACGCAAAGAAGCAAGCTCTATACTTCATTAAGGAATTCAGTGTGCTCAGACACGTCGCCGTCAGCATAAGAAATTTACCTCTCAGGTCTCAATTCTAGAATTTGGCAAGAGTAGGGTTCACAGAATATGGGGAATATAACGGTAATGACGAAGCAGTAGAGCTAAATGTCCTATCTCCCTATCTACGAAACCTTGCACTGCTAGTATGAAAGCAACTTAAAATACTTCACAAGCTCAGAGAGTAGTCGAATAGGATTTAGTTGGACCTTACTGGGGGCACAATCAGCATCATTTTGCCTTACATTAGACATTTTCCAGATATTTTTTTAGACTCCCTTTAAGTTAGACTAAGCCAACCAACGAAACCTCTGGTAAAACATATTTTTTGCAGTATTATAATCGTATTAATATGTCCATTACTGCGTCATTGGTGATTTTTATTCGCCGAAAGTCAATTTTACTTTTCGTCACCTCAGTAGCATTTGTTGTAAATGCTAATTCCACACTACATTTCCAATGGCATATAGGTATTTCATAACCATGAATTATAACCATTGATAACCCAAAAATAACAAATTGTCAAAAGTTTTTTAACTCGTAATGTCAAAATCCGTCGTTTTATTTTTGGAGTGAAAAACGTTTTTTGGAAAATATGAACTAAGGATATTTTTCGTTAAGGGAAAAATTGAATCATGGAGTATATTTATATATGTATTATATACATAATTCTCGTATGCAGATTTGTTTAAATTACTCGAATATAAGGCAGTCGAAGCGAATGTCCGCTATAAGAAAACAATCGCTTTATTCACATCGTCACTCACACGTCAAGGCTACTTATCATAACTTGAAAAATATATCATCTACTTAAGAACCAGTTTATTTTTTGATCGAAAAAATATTCCCTCAATTCAATTAAAGAAAATCCCTTGTTTATCAGCTCATTGTAATCTAAATAATTATTCTTGATAAAAGCGAATGAGTAGACTAGTTAATGGAAATGTGTATATACATATACCTTTTCCTACCCACATAAATTTGCTAAGAAAATACTCTGCTCGAGGAATTCCATATCTCTCAACTAACCAACTCAGATTCACTTGTTTTCATTGTCCAAATGATGCTGAACCACATCGGAATAGATGTACGATCAGTCGATTGAGCCTTAAAGGAGAGAATTGTTTTCGTTGTTTGTAAGGAAAAAAAGTAATTTTGGGCTACTTAAAGTGTCCAATATTCTACGCATAACGGTTTCGAAAACACCTTAAAATTTAATTCCAAATTTAAATAGAGCCACTTACCCACACACACACACATAGACGCTCACCAAAAGGACACTTTAAATATTTTACCAGCTGTTCGCTGTCGTTCGACTTGATTAGCTCCGCTGTCACATTGTTGCGGTCACATGCCACAAACGCCGAATTGGCATCGCTAATACACACGCACGTACGCACACGACGACAAACGTGCTTGCAACAACGCGCACCAACATAACCACAAAACTTTTCCATTGAATACTTAAATAAGCAGCGACAACAACAACACAGCAAACAACGCCAAAAATATGTCCCAAATGTTGACTGAACGCGACCACAAAACGCAGTCGCCCCAGCATCCCGACGACGACGAACGCGAAGAGTGTCATTGGCACTTGGCTGCTACAATGTCCTGCTCTTTGGGCACAGTTGTCTCATCTACCCACTCACCTTCGAATTGTGCCGTGGCGGCTGTGGTGGCTGAGACGAAGAAGTGGTTGGATCAGGGCAATCTTGGCGGCCCTAAACATTTCACTTGCTTAAGCAACCTCCAAACGCTGCAACATCACCTTCATATTTTCTTCGTCTCTTTAGTGTTAATACATATTCCATATTTGCTTCTGTTGTTGTACTATGTGTCGCCGTATTTAAGCGTTTCCTGTGGTGGCCGTTTGCTGTCCAAAGTACCTCCTGCCACAAGCAGCCTGACCATGATACTCCAAGCTTCAACATTTTTTTCTTGACGCGCTCTCCATTCATTTGCCTTCCGGCTGCGTCGGGGCGAGTCCCAGAGGTAAAGTAAACGCGTTTGCAACGCAATTCGCATATTTTTGAGCGCCTCTTTGCACAGCTGTTTCACGCCAGCAGGCAGGAGAGTACAGGGAGGGTATTGCCACAGTCACTGTCTACTGCTACTTAATTACGTACGGTAGTCTGTGTGCAGCACATTTGCAGTACCTCACACCGCCGCTACCTGCAACGCTTGCGCACAGCGGGGGGGTTACTTACCCACCTACCAGCTATAGGATGACTCCACCGGCCCAGCGATGGACACAGCTGTGTGTCGTCATCTTAAAGTGACTTTCAATATGCCAACATTAGCGTTTGGCATGCAACAGAGCCAAGGGAAAATCGCGGTGGCGACTTTACGATTTTCCAATTTAAATTTTTATGTCATCGCACACGCACGCACATACGGTAACTTGCCACACCACCCCATAGCGCATTTGCCACATTTTGGTGCAAGCATTCGTACGAAGAAAAAACTGCCTAATCCACCCAGCTAACGGTAGTTGTGGTGTTGGTAAGTCAATTTCTACAAGCAAATCCACTCAGTCGCCGGGGTTAAGCACACTTCGACTGCGAAAAAATCTCAAATAAAAAATACAAATTTAATCGTCGAACTTTAGCGACCGCGGTACGCCCGCTAGGCCGGGTCGGTTCATGCAGCCAGCACATTGTCGCCAGCTGCTTCACTAGGGAAGCTTGTACAATTCCGTATTGTTCGATTGCGTTTTCTTAATCTGACGTTCTAATGAATGTCATAAATTTATTGTCCGAGTCCGCTGGCAGCAGCCGAAGTCACAAAACAAGCAGCACCGTGCGGTCCTTAGCCGCCACATACACTCACATACAAACATACACCCTCACAAGTGTATATATTTCTTCAAATCCTCAATACAATACAAATCTTATTTCACAATTGGCTTCGTTTGCCTTTGCCGTGATTCTCACACAAGTCCGCTTACAAACAGTTTAGTCTAAAAGTCCGAGTCCAAGTGTATGAGATTAAAACTGACAAGAGCAAAAATATTTCAATTGATTTGTGATTTCTTTGCCTCCTCTATGAATTTCTTTTCTGTACAAAAGTGTGCTTTCTGTATACCCCGAGGCGCTTCTTCGCTGTTAGAATATCTATAAAAGCCGGCACATATAAACACTCGCACAGAAAATGGCTGGTAAAAGAGGTTAAAAGAAGCTTACTGTCTTGTATGATAAGAAAGTAATTTTTGTAGTAAAGTTTTAAATTGAAGTTAAATTAGTGAAATTCCTTAAAGCTAGTTTCCTTATGTATTCAGCCCCAAATTTAACCTTACATTAGTTTTCGTTCAGCATAATTTCTTCATGTTAGAAAAAAGACCGTTTAAACAGCTTTGACTGAGGTCGTAATAGCGGCCGCTTATTTCTAGTAGCGCAGTTTGAAAATTCCAGCGATATATTAGTACAACTTTATTAAATCTGTCCGAAGAAGGCATATGTTCCTTCATACATCTCAGAAGATAACATATTTTAAGAATGTAGCATTCTAATTGACAGAATAACAGTGAACCAAATCTCTACTTCCGACAGAGTTTTGTGCGGATTTTTACTCTCATTTTGTTTACGCACATCCACTGATCTACTAATTTTAAAATTGTGGAGCGATAATGGGTCCATTTAGGAAAAATAATATCAGTCTTTGAGCTCAAACACTTATATTCAGTATTGAAACAACTGTGTCGCATTTAAGCACTTTTAGTTAGGCCAAGGATTATGAATATTGCCTGACAAAGTTGTATCAGTTTTAGAGTTTAATGGAAAAGTACCATACGTAGGTTGCTTTTTATATTTCGGGATTTGCCAACCCTAGTGCTGCAAACTGTCAACTCACAACTTTTTCGTAAAGTTTGACATTTTTGATGTTATACACACTCAAAACGTTATGACATACGAGCGCTATTTGTGTTGTTTACAGTAACTTAAAATATTC